TGTCCTTGGGGTTCTGACAGGATATGTCCTCAGCTGCAGCCACTGTGCATATTCACTACGTTCCTTTTTAAAAGGGCCCTGCCCACCTCCCATCCTTTGCCCTCTCTTTCCTTCTCTGTCTCTCTGTCTCCCCACTCCCTGCCTCTTTTCTCTTCTGCTGCTCCTGTCCCCAGAAGCCACTCTCTCTTCTCCTTTCCCCATTCCCTTTCTCCTAATTAAAACAAACAAACAAACAAACAAACAAAAAAACCCTCTATGTCAGCTCTGTCACAAGGCATCGTTCTCTCTTGAGCTGTTTTTTAAATTACTCCACTTGCCACAGAAAACATTCCTTTATTTTATTTATTTATTTTTTTTTGCTAGCCAGCAGCAGTTAGTCTGGTTAAAAAAAAATATATATATAGCCCCATGTGTATATACATATACATATAAATACACATATATGTGTGCAACGCCAATTAGTGAAAAGGACCATGGATTTGAAGGAGAGCTGGCAGGAGTATATGGGAGGAGGGTATGGAGGGGAGGGAGGGAAGAGAGAAATTTGTCAACAAATTGTACTAAAATAAAATAAAAAAATAAAATAAAGTGAGAAGAAAAAGAAAGATATATTCTCTTAATAAAGATGACCTTGACATTATTTATAAGTAAACAAAAACTCTGATATTGTTAGGCTAAAGAACAGTTTGCCTGGGTTTCAGATTTCAGCTCTGCAAAGTAGGTACAGGTGTTTCCATGACTCTAATTTGCCCTGCAATTCTGTGCATTCCTCAATAGCGTCTCACCACCGCCTAGTCAAAAAAGATCTTGGTACACTTTTTAACCTCAAAATGGACTCAGTAGCCATTCTCCTCCTCCACCCAACTTCATACTTTCCTACTTCCTATACCTTTTCAAAGACCTTGGCTTTTGAGCCGGTCGGTGGTGGTGTGAGCCTGTATTCCTAGCACTCAGAAGGTAGAGGCAGATGGTACTCTGTGTCTTCAAGTACAGCCAAGAATATACAGAGAAACCCTGTCTCGAAAAACAAAACAGAAAAACAACAACAATCCCTCCAAGCAATCAACCACCAAACAAACAAAAAGATCCTGGCTTTTATTGTATCAGGAACATCCTACAAAACTATCACATAAGCCTGAAATGTTCTGGTATGTGCTTTGTTACACATGGCTAGTTTCTTTTACAAGCCATCTTTTGTAATCATTAAAATGTTCATATCCTTAACGAAACTGTGCATGAGCCTTCCTCGTCTTCATAGCTGTAATGATCTACATTTTCTCCTAAGCCTGATGTCTACATATTTGTAAAATTAAAGGTTCCCATTTAGCCAGGTTGAATTTGAAAAAGAAGCACAGAGAAGAGGAATTAACACATCAGAAATCAAACAACTCGTTATTGATGTTATCATAGACAAATAGACCAAGTAAATAGGAAGCCATAACGTGACTTGTGTGTAAATGGGAATGCAGTGTATGATAAATAACATTTCCCATCCATGTAGAAACAATCAGCTACTGAGGGGCAGTGGAGAGAAAAACTAGTTCTGCTCCAGAGCAAAAAAGGAGGCTGATAGCAGTCTCTGCCATCAGTGTGGTGCACCGCTCCAGGAGAAGAAATACTTAAGTGTCATTCTCCAGAGAGAATGAAGAGCTGTAAGACGAAACTGAAGAAAATACAGAATACCTTCCTAATCTTGAAATGCAGACGAAGTTTCTAAACAAGGCCCTAAAAGCACTGTTGAGAGCGATGAGATTATATTCACCACCTAAGAGAGAAAACTGACAGACTGAAAGAAGTTAGGCTCCCCTGACTCCTGGGAAGGGGGATGGAAAGACATGACAATTCAGGACAAAAGAGCATAAAAGGATACAGACATGTAGAAAATGTAACATTATCGCGAGTAGCTGAAACAGTTTCTGTTACTTCTGTTTCTTTCCTACCTAAAGTGAAGACCTTTTGACAATCTTTTGTCATTTCAGATATTATGCTAAGTCAAGAAGCATAAAAGAAATAATTTGATGCTCAACATATTTGAAAATGACTAAGATTAGGAAACTAAATGAAAAAAGAAACTTAACCTTTAATCTACACCTAGAAACCAAAAGGCTATTAAAACCACTGCCTAGGCTGTCAGTGAGGAAACAGAATGTGATCAATGAGGAATATTATCCTGTGTGAAAGGAACCGCATTAACAGTGACAGGGTCTTGAGAGACCAGCATATGTTGAAAAAAAAATCTGTAATAACCAATGCTGAGTTCTAAAATATCCGCTCTGGTGGGTTATTACTCTGGGAGTAGTAGGGATTACTGCATCAGCCATGTTTCTATGTTTGAAGCTAGGTCTAAAGAAAAGGAAGTAATGAAGTAACATAGATTGACCCTAGGAAGAGCAGCAAGGGGCAGCAGTGATTAACTGTGGAGGGGCACTGTCCCTAGGGAAGGGAAGGACCTGCCACCACTCTCAGGAAGTTTTCCTGGAAGCATAGGGCTTCACTTTATCATTCAGAAATACCGCTGACTCTTGGTACTCACATACTCTGTAGCCCTGGGTTTCCTTACTCTTTAGAGTTTATTTGGTGCTTTTGCAGTGGACGTTTGTGTTCAATGGCTGAGCGGTTAAAAATCCAGGTTCAGTGACGTATGTTCTCAGCTGAGGCTGGGCAGGGGGATATCCTGCTGCCTTTTCAGAGTTCACACAGTGAAAACAAGTGCCTGTTTTTGTGATCATTTTGGTGCCATGTTTTATTTTCTTCAGTTTGCTGATGATTTCACTGTTTAAAATGCCCCAGTACTCCGTATGCAACAATGAGCTAGTATCCATGGTCCCTAAATAAGAAAGATGTGACGAGAAAGGGGGGGGGGATAAGGGCTGGGTGGTGGTAGTGCAGCCAGGTGGTGATGGCACACACCTTTAATCTTTAATCCCAGCATTTACAAGGCAGAGCTCTGTGAGTTCGAGGCCAGGCTGGTCTATAGATTGAGTTCCAGGACAGCCTGTTACACAGAGGAAACCCTATTTCAAAAAACAAAACAAAACAAAAACCAAAAAACAAACAACAAAACTAACAACAACAACAACAAAAGAAGTATGTGATGTATTTTGCAGAGAAAAGTACATGAATTATTATAAGGGCTTTCTTCACACATATGCCAGTGAACATGAATTCAATGTTAATTAATAATATATAGCACCTTTAAACAGAAACACATGATTCAGCAATATTTACAAACAAAGTTTATATGTAACCCAAAGTTTACCATTTTAATGATTGTAAGTTTATAACTTTATGGCATTAGGTATAGTCGAACTATTTAGCCATCATCAACAGCCATCCCAGAACTCTATTTTCATTCCAAATTAAAACTCTGTATCAGTGATACAGAGTTTTAGTTTGCTTCACATTCTGCCTGTCACTCCTGGCAACCACCATTCTACATTCTGTCTCTCCTGTTCCTCCAGCAACCTCTATAAAGACATTTGCCTTGTCATATCTGGCTTATTTCACTTAAATATCTGTAATCAATAACTTGGTTTTTCATTAGTTTTGCTATAATTAACGTCTAACGTAAGATACCGTATTTTAGAGCAAATGCCTAGCTTTGTATTTTGTAATCTCACTTAATTTTAAAAACACACCACTGCAGCAAATTACAAATTCTGTCTCATCAAAAACTTCTTTACGGTTCATCGTGTCTTTAGATTGTGAATTATTTTCATTTCTCTTGTAGCCTATGGACTTTTAGATTCTTTGCTTGTCTCTTAGTAATATTAAACAACAGACAGAATCAAACTCGTTGGGCCACCCATGATACAACACAACATGTCTGCTCTGCAAACTCTGCTTTGGTACATTGTAATGTCTTGGAGAAAAGTGTCTGGTCTTTTCTAAAGGGGCGGAATTTAAAACGTAACAAAATTGTCTTTAGCTAGGTTGGAAACCATCAAGGTTAACTAACTCCTGTTTGCGGGGCATCCATGGGTCAGGTCATTGCAACCTTTGCCGAAAAGTCTTGCAGTTTTTGGACAAGGACACTAATCCTCCGGAGGTGTCAGCGGGTATCAGAGCGGTCTGTGTCGAGGCAGCCAGCGTGTGCACAGGGCAGCGCACGCGAGAGTACTGTCCTGGGAGGGTGCAGGGACAGACAACGGCGCAAGGAAGGGTGCATGGTGCAAAGCGCAAGGCAGGCTGCACGGCGCAAGGAGGGTGCGTGGTGCGTGGTGCACGGCGCAAGGCAGGCTGCACGGTGCACGGCGCAAGGCAGGCTGCACGGTGCAGGACGCCTGCAAGCTGCCGGCCGCCTTCTCCAGGGCGCTCTTCCGCCTTGCCCGTCCATTCATGCAAGCACGCCCCTCTCCGTGGCCTTCCCGTCCCCGTGGAATGAGACAGCGCTGCGGTTACTGGCGACGAGGGCGGGCGGGTAAAAGGCGACCGAGGCCTGGAGCCGCGCAGGCACAAAACGCACACCCGCGCTGGCCGGGCCGAGCGTGCCTGCGCCTCTCTCTTCCCGGCGTGCTCCGGGGCTCACCGCGAGAGCCCAACAAGCTCTCGCGAGACTTGGCGGCAGCCATCTTCTCGGGGGTGCCGGGAAGCCGGGAAGACCCCCCGAACCGTCCCCATTGAGCCAGCCTGCGCTCCCGCCGCCCTCACCCGCGCCCCGGCCGCGTTTGCCGCCGAGCACGCAGCCGCGCCCGAAGCTGAGGGCCGAGGCCGGCCCGGAGCGCGTGCGGCCGTCCTTCGGGAAGACTCACCGGGGCGCCGGGGCTCGGGGGAGGAGGGCCCGGGGAGACCGTTGCTGCCGAGCGGCCGGCCGCGCCCGCCGCGTCCGCCTGGGCCCGGCGCCCGCAGACGGGGAGCCCCGGGGCGCGCGGCCTGCGGCGGCCCCGCCGAGCTGCCCCGCGGGGAGCCTGCCTGCCTCCGGCACCTCCCACCGCGGCCCACGCGGACGGCGCGCGGAGGAGGGGGCGGGCGGCCGGGGCGGCCGGGCGGGCGGGCGGGCGGGCGGTGTGAGCGGCCTCGGGGCCGCGGTGGATGCGGTCGAAGATGATCATTGAGAACTTCGAGGCGCTCAAGTCCTGGCTCAGCAAGACCCTCGAGCCCATGTGAGTGCCGCGGGGAGCCGTGCCTGCAGGGATGGCGGCGGGCGGCGGGCGCTCGGGCCCGGGCCCTCCGAGTGCCCGAGCCGGGGGCCGGGGGCCCGCGGGGCGGAGGTGGGGGTCCTAGGGCTCGGGCTCTCCCCTTCCCCCGCCCGCCAGCCCTCGCGTCCGGGTTCCAGCGTAGCCAAAGCCGGCGCTGGGCGTTTTTTTGTTTTTGTTTGTTTTGTTTTTTATTTTTTGTCCCCCCCTTTATATCTTTTGTCGTTGAGCCGATCTTTGGACCGGGCGTCTGCCGCTTTTGTTTTCCCGTTACGTGCAGACCGGGATAGCAAAACTTCCCCACACACCTGTGCTCTCCTCTCGCCCTGCGGGCCCCGCGGATGGGTGCCTTTGCCTTTCCTGAATGCTGGCGTCCTACCGTCCTGGCCACAGATTCTTTGACATTGTTCCCTTGGACCAAGTGAATGGCGTTTATTAGGGACCAGGGCGGTTCGAGGTTAAACTTGAGGCTTCACTTAACATACAGCCCCTTAAAGAAGGAAGGCCGCGTCTTCCATATGTCTGGCTCATAGGCACCTCTCTTAACTGACTGAAGATGTAACAGGTGTGAATGTGCCCAGTAACCCTCCTTACCCCCTTTCCACTCATACCCTACTCACTTGGAGAAGGAAAGGAAAGGAAAGAAAAAAAATCAAGTCTCTATCCATATGGAATATTTAGCAGCTTAAGGAGGAATTCAGTAAGTAGTTCGTGCGACTGTTGAATTGTCTTAGATTGAAACATTTTAGGGACGTTTTATAGATTTGTTCAATGCAGAATACATCCTAGACAAATTTCTTTTCGGTACGGTTGAGTTACAATAACAAAATGCAGCGGCAGGTGATTCACCTATTTAATACATGTATTAAGTTTTTTACAGTGTGCTGAGGGAAGCTTCGGGGCTAGAATTTTAAAATTCCCAGGTTAACAAGATGCAATAAGATAGCATAACAGATATGACCACTTATGACCGTTGTAATAGTAAGTAGGGGTTCGTGTAAACATAGTTATGGTGGGCGCAGTTTGGCACTTGCTGGAAGCTGTCAGAGCAAGTAGTATTTAACAAAACGTAAGAGGAGAAGGACCCGTACAGAATGAAGAGTAGATGGGAAGGCCTGGTAGCACACATGATCCTTGTGATTTGTGTAGAGAAGAGAGGAAAGACAAGTAGAAGTAGGCAGGGGCCACACTGAAGGGGAGCTTTTAGGTCAAGGTCAGGAATTGAGTTTTTATTTAACACATAATAGAAAGATAGGTTATAAAGCAGGCCAGGAGTGGTTTGACTTTACATATGCCTGTTTTGTGGAGACTTAAGGGGATAAGGGTGAAGTGAAGGGAGGCTCTTTGATGGTATTGTAGAAAGAGACTGTATTGGATGATAGTGGGGACAGGACCAAGTGTACTTCGCAGATAGATCTGGTAAAACTTTCTGATAGAGCAGATGTGGAAGATGGGGACAGGAAAATCAAGTATGGTGCCCTAGAGCTAGTTTTATTAGCAGCTGGATGGGTGATGTAGAAGGTTGGGGTGGGGTTACTAACCGGATCATACTGTGCAGACTGACGCAGTAAGTTAGAAGCCTTGGATGGGGCAAGGGAGGAATAGAGAGCTGGAGGGTGTATCTAGCCTGGTGGTGGCATAGGCAGAGCAGTAGATGAACTATTCAGTACCCCTCACCCAAATAAAAAGATGTTTTCTTCCGTGGATCGGAAAGTAACATATGTAACAGGTGAGAGGAAGAGCCCTAGTCCCGGATGACTAGCTTTGAACTGTGCTACAGCCACTCACCTACAAGTTGTGTAATATTGGATAGATTGCTTAACATAATGCATGTTTCCATCTGCAAAGTGGGGGAAAATGATATATATATATATCTTAGAATATTGCCCAATTTGTAATCAGCACTTTTCAAATCAACTTTATTGCCATGTCATGTTTTTTCACTAATCTAAAACATACATACTTACTGTGTATGCCTCTAATTTGTTTTTAATTTTAAAAAGCATACTACTTAGATGTCTGTTACTTTCCACGACTACAATAAACAGTTACTGCTAGTGACCTCTACATGATGGCCCTTTCAAATACACATTGTGTGCAGTTGGCTCCTGTCCTTTTTTAAGTTGCATGTGTTCTCTACTCTTCTAGGTGATGACCTACAAAAGCTTAATTATTTACTGCTGTTGGTTTCTTTTTTCCCTCCCCTCCCTCCCTCCTTCCCTCCCTTCCTTCCTTCTCCCTTTTCTTTGAGACAAGGTTTCTCTGTGTAACAGCTCTGGCTAATCTGGGACTTGCTTTGTAGACCAGGCTGGCCTCAACCTCAAAGAAGATCCTCTTGCCTCTTCCTTCTGAGTGCTGGGATCATAGGTGTGCACCATCACTGCCCAGCAAATGTCTTTCTGTGTGTTTTATGTAAAGAGTTTTTTTTTGCTTAATGTTGACATGTAATTATAAAATAAAAGTCATATTATTTGAAAAAGAACTATCTGAAGGAACTTTATATAGTTTTTAGCTATTCATAATGACGTATCACTTGATTTTTTTTTTTTTTTACTAACCTGTATTTTGAATGTATTAGCAAACATTTTGTGCTAATCAGAGTGGGAAATAGAATGCAGCAAGGTGTGAAATTGCTGTTTCATTTGTTAGGGAAGAAAGATGCTGAACAAGTAATTATAATACTGTGTGTGGTAAAGAAGTCCAAAATGTTTTAGGAATACTGTGGGTGGAGGTGAAGAAAGGCTTTGAGATTGTAACGACTCAGCTTGGATGGGGAGCAGCTTTCTAGGTTTTGGAGAACAGATTGTATGAATGTCCTAGTGAGTTGAGGGAAAACTAGAGGATCTGAAAGAGATTGAAAGAGCAAAGGAAGGATAGAAATGCTTAGGGACAGAGAGGGGCCAGGTCACACAGGTCTTTGTGGGGTCAAGTTCATTGTTTTGTGATCATTGAAGCTTTTTAAGGAAGCTTGGGAAGGGTTAGGATAGGTGAGTTTGTAGAGTGGTGGAGAGTGAGGTACACTGGGTAGCCTGGCTGCATTTCCAGCCTGAATGACAAATGTCTGCATCGTTTATTCCATTACAAGTTCCATAGTAGCAAATTATTGAAAGTTTAGATATTAAAATTTCCTCTTGAAGTACTTAGAATTGATGTCTTTTGATTTCAACCATTTGTAATCAGCCCTTCCTCCACTATTAAATGTCTTTTTGGTAATTTGAAATCCTACCCCTCTCGTGGTGACTCAACCTTAGCATAGAAAGTAATAGGCTTTATTATGGCATTTCCATGTTTGTGTGTCTTTGTACTTTGCGCCTTTGACCCCACTCTCCCCATGTTGAATTCTCTTTTTCTCCTCCAGAGAGTCTTCCTGTCAGTGTTCATGTCATGTAATCCTTTACCTCCCCTGTTTTTACCCTCTCCGAACCTAAAATCTCCTCCCTCACATGGTCAGGTGGCATCTGTCTGCCTGTCTGTCCCTCCGTATGTACAAATGTCTCCTTTCTATGTTGAGTTGAAGTCCTGGTGTATATGTAAATATGGTATAGCTGGGTCATACCCCTTAAACTTTTGGGAACTTTACACTTTCTTCCATAGGGGCTGTACCAGTTTACGGTCCCACTGCCACTGTAGATGATTTGTTCCTTACATCCTTACCAGCTTATGTTGTCTTTTGTTTTCTTTATGTAATATATGTATATGAGCGCTCCATTGCTTGTATGCCTCTATGTCAGAAGAGGGCGTCAGATCTCTTTATAGATGGTTGTGAGCCACCATGTGGTTGCTGGGAATTGAATTCAACCTTTGGAAGAACAGCCAATGGTCTTAACCACTGAGCCACATCTCCAGCTTGTCATTTGTTTTGTTTTCTCTTTTTGAGACAGAGTGTTTCTGTGTAACAGCTCTGGCTGTGCTGGAGCTCACTTTGTAGACTAGGCTGGCCTCGATCTTACAGCGATCTGCTGCCTCTGTCTCTGCCTCCTTAGTCCTGGGATTAAAAGTGTGTGCACCACTGCCCAGCTCATTTGTTTTCTTGACCCTGGCTATTCTGCTTGCGGTGAGCCCGAATCTGGAAGTCCATAGTCCATATCAAGTACCTTTTCCTACTGCTGTACACTTTATGTATCGAGACACTGTTTCATTGGACCTGGAGCCTCCTTGGTTTGGCTAGGGTTAGCTGGCCAGTGAGCTCTAGGGTCCACTTGTTGACCACCCCCAACCCAAGCTCTAGTTTATGTCTTCATACTTTAAGGCAGGCATTTTACTGATTTCTTCAGTCTCCTGAAAGCACTTTAATTTGTTTCTGTGATGGCTAAGGTTATTTATTAGCCATTTGTATTTCTTGCTTTGAGAGTCACCTGTTCATTTATTGGTTGAGTACTTTGTGTGTGTGGGGGGTGAGTCTTGCGGTCCTTCATACAGTGTAGTTATGAACCCTGTCTGAGTACAGTCGGCAGTTCTTTCCATGTTCTCTAGGTTGTCTCTCCACTCTGGTAATTGCTCCCTTTGCTATGCACTCTAATTTTAGTTAATCTCATTTGTCAATTCTTGGGATTATTTCTGGTGCTGTTACATTCCTTTTCAGAAAATCCTAGCCTATGCATGAATCCTAAAGTCTTTTACCTGCTTTTCCTCCAACAAGGCTTCAAGTTTTTTTAATAGAATTTTTTTTTCTTCACTAATATCCTGGGAACATGTTACCGTACATGGTAATTTAAAAAATCAAATTCTTTTATATGAAGGTATTCCTTAAGATGCAATCAAATCCTTTGATTTTTAAGAAAATAAAATTGAGAGACAGACTAACGAGCAGACTTTGGAGTTTAGTTGTAAAGATGGGAACACCTTAGTTTTTGCTTTTGCAGCTGTGCATTGCTGTGAAAGTAGGTTGTGTGGAGGGAAGAAAGCAAACTTCTTGACCTCATAGATCAGTATTCTCATTTCTGCCATTGGTTAGCTTAGTGATCTAG